CTCGTTGATCAAGTTATTTGCACGTCAAGAAACAATAAGATCGTGTTCTTTGACACTCACAACTTACAATGCTGTTATATGGACAGGTGTTTCTTAAGGTTTGGTTTCTTCATTTGACGGTCAAAAGCTCCATCCTGAATGAAGCAGAACCGCCCCACACTTTGTAGCTTCGGATAAAGTTTCCATAAACAATTGATCCCAAAATGTCACGGCGGCATGTTCTTGTTAGGAATCCAATTGGACGAGTCTGAACCATTTTCCATTTCACCTCCATGACAATGATGAAACAACGTCGTCTTTTAGGAGAATTTATATATCAAGGATATACTACCACATGGTATTATGTATTAATAAAAAATGATATATGGACAAAAAGAATTTATATATCTTTATTTTATTAGCACATGACATCATTGTAACAATGTACTCATGTTGTATATGTCCTTCGTGTTAAGAGTATCCTACATCGATGGATGAAAGTCTAGTAATAGAAAACCAACTTATGTGCCTAGACATAGTCTAGGTATTACAAATAAAACATACTTTTTATTATTTTATGAAGAATATTACATCATAGCTGCATTACATCACATACAAATAAAAGAAGCTGAATTTGTTTAGCTAGTGCTTTATTATAGGGCTAGACAACATGTTCTACATGTTACATGAAAATACACCTTAATCTACATATGCAAAATACCCAAAACTGTATAAAAATATTTATCTTAACCATAATGAAAGAATCAATCACTAGTACGCAGCGGCGACAATGGCAAATGGCTGCTGCAATCAGTGTCCCTCACCGCTAGAGCTAGGACCAGATTTGTTCCCTCCTAGGGTTTCCGACTCGGTGAACGCATGACCCCTTCCGTCGCTCGGACCTTCCTTCATACTTCCAATATACAACCCATCAAACACATTCTCCATCTCTTTGTCTATGTTCGCCAACTTAAGAGAACGAGCCTCCGACGTACACAAAACCAAAGAGCTTACGACGAGGACAGCAACAAGGAAGGAGAACAAGGGTTTCAAACTTTTCACCATCTGGAAGAAGAATATATTGCGAAATGATCGATGGTGCTTGATCAGACTACGCTTCTGGCCGGTGTTTGAGATTTCGGTTTGATTTGGTTTGGAAGAAGCGAGTGGGGATTTGGGTGCTATAAATAGTAGTGTCCGAGTGTGTGGGGAGGAGGTGGGAATGTGAGCTTCATATTTTTGACTTGGGAAGGAAGAAATGAGTGGGAAAGTGCATGGCTTTGTTTAAACTACACGAGGGTTAGTTGAAGACTTGGAAGATTCATTTGGAGGATGTAATCCAATGGACTCAGATACAGCAAATTTAGACTAAGTTTGGAGGAACTTAGATGTTGAATATTAAATATTCGTTGACCGGGGAAATTTTTTGTTACAGTTAACTTTACCCTTAGTCTTTTGATTCCGCCCGCCTAACTGCCTGTGTAAGATTGAAGGGAAAGAAGACTGCAAAAGGGTCGGAAGGCCAAAGCCCACAAAATATCGATCCAAAATTAGTTGTTTCTGAATCTGCACATAACTTGTGCGGGGTAGCCCAGCCCAACTACGTATATTTAAAATGTATAAGAGCGCATACAAAACTGTAACTTATACGGTTAAGAGCACTTAGCACCAATTGCTGTTTTGTTCCCGTCTACTCGGTCTTGAACGGCCAGGTGGACTAGACTTGAAGATGGGCAGAATCGAATTTTTATCTAATTTTCGATTGGTTGATGTCGAACTTTAAAGTCTCAATTAGCTATGGACAACTGGACATTGCTTGGCTCTGCCATGAAAAGAGTCATCCATTTGTACAAATCATGGTTTGTAACATGCACAAATAACTCGTCAAAAGCCATAAAAGATTTTTTTTTTGTTTTTTGTTTTTTGTGAAAGACGTCTTACAAATGACGCTCCAACTCAAAGAAATGAGCCAAATAATCTACTTCATATTTGATCTAAACTCTTGAATAAAAAGGTGAGCAGAGAACCCCTTTCCACAAACAGATTTGAATTACGGATCAAAATTTCTTGTTATAAGTAGAATCCGTACCATATAACAAGCTAATTTGACCTACCAAATTGGACAAATTTGTGATTTTATTTCTATACCAAGAATATTGTGACAGAATTGTAGGGGAATTTATGCGTCTGTGGGAAGCTACAAACCAAAAACAACTTTAGAATCCTGGGAAATTACAAAAGGTAAGCAGCGGTGAGTTGAAACATTGACATATGGAGTTAGGTGGCAAGTCTTCATACGGTGCCAGTGCCAACGAATTCCAAACGAGCACAATCCACAACTGGTTCAGAATTCAGAAGAGCAATGAGTAATGGTCTGGAAATTCTTGGTCCAAATGGAATAAAATACACCTTGAAAGGTATGCTTGCCAACTCGCCAACCAGAAGACCAAAGAAAATATTTGCTCATCACTCACCACATTGGTTATCGTGACCGCGGCATTGGTTGAATTTCGAATTTTGTATAGTAGCAACAATTAATATAATAATGATGCCTATTACCGGCTTAGGTCAGTGAGCACAACAACACTCAAAAACTAAATGTGAAATAAAACAAAAAGGAAAGTAGAGAATCTGACAAAAAACTAATTTCGAGGAGACCAAAATTCTGGAAGTTTACCGGCCAAGAAAAAAGAAAGGGGGATTGAGCAAAGGGACGACACAAAAGACTAAATAGTGAGTTCACCAACATCTATCCATTCTCTCTGTTTTGTTGTGTCGTAAGCTTAAACGTTTTGCTTGCCGTCAACGACGTGCGTCCAAACCTCAATATATTACCAGTAGAAATAACCCGTCGCCTGTCGGTCACGGGTGAAGATACTGTAGCTCTGTGTCTTTATGCAGTACGTACCCATGGAATGGAACATGTAATCGCTTATCCACAGATAGGGTTTATGCCTTTTCATGTAAAAGTATAGAACTTTGCACGTACAAGGTTATTTTCTTCTGCAAACTTGAGAATTGACGTTTCATATCTATGTCCTATCCATGTGCCCATACCATGCACTTCGTATTAGAAGGCAGAGATTCGCCATGTGGCAAATATTATTGGACTGGTGACTGACTTTATACATACGTGATAAATGTTTATTAAACATATAATGCAACTAGCAAGGGGAAAATTTATGTATTAAAAAAGAAATTCTTGGGTCCGAACACTCAGATCACGTAAGTCATGTGGCTCTACTTACAAAATCAAAAGAGACCCCTATATTTTGTCTCACTGGCTCGAAGTTAGTCTCACATCATACGTCTGATGCATTCCACCATAGGGCAAAAGTTTATGCTTTTGAGCTTATGTCTATTTGTAGAAGCGCATAAGTACTAGGATAGTTCATAAAAAAATATTAATATAGCGCTAATCACTTGTTTACACACAATGTTGGCCCATCATATGAAAATTACCTTGCACAAAGTTAGTCAAATGTCTTTTATAAATACCGTATAATGAAGCTTTACCAGTTACAAGAGTATTTACCAAATTTTGTGCACAAACCTTTGTAATATTATATAACAATCTGCCTATATTTTGCCATTGACATAACTTCTCTTCTTTCTTATTAAAAAAGAAAAACTTTATGGGTTTGCTTCCTTATTAACTTTAAAATTGTATGATTGTACCATCTTGAATTTTTTTACAATTGTCAATCTTTGACCAATTGCTCTGAAAAGGTGAATCCATTACTGGTTCTTGCAACATACATTCTCATAAACCAAAAACAAATTTTAGGGGTGGGTTCAAAAGACCAAAACCCGAAAAAAAAATTGGCCTGAACATCGAATTGAAACCGAAAAAAAAAAAAACCAAATCGAAAAAGAAAAAACCGAACTAACCGGAACTTTATTGGTTTGGTTTAGGTTTTGGAGGTTTGGAAACCGAACCAAATCCCTTTACACTTTATGAATGTATGCTCATTTTTGTGAAACTTTGTTGCCAAGTTTGAAACTAAGCCTAGGGCTTTTTCAATGAGCATATTTGGTTCAATTAGGGAGGATATTTCATTGGTTATAGAGGAAAGTTTTGGAAGGCTTTGGAACTTGGAAGAGCTTATCTATTTGTTTGCTTTTTGAATGGATACGGTGATCATTTTTCTTTGCAATTAAGGTTGTTAATAGCATAGAATTGGTTTATATGATCTTGTATATGTACAACTACCTTCCCACTTTCCCCATTTATTTATTATTAGTCTACCAATGCAAGCCTCTTTTTTTAAATTCCATATTAAAAAATGATCAAGTTTTATAAAATAAAAAAAATCAAAACCGAACCAAATAAAATCAAACCGAAAAAAAAAAACCGAACCAAAAAAACCAAAAGAAAATTGAACCAGGCAAACCCCCCCCCCTAACAAATTTATGGGAGCAAATTTACAAAAATCTACAAAAAAAAAAAAAAAAAAAAAAAAAAAAGAGAAACAAAGTTAGACTAATGCTGGTGTGGTGTTAGTGAAAGCGCTTCTGATGCCTAAGTAAAAAAGACAGTATGAAGTAATACGAGTGTAGTGAGAGTTCTTAATTAACAAAATAAAGTGGTTGACATTGACTATTTATCGAGAACTGATAAGTTAACCCTAACATCCAGGTTCGTTGAACTTGTTAGCCAAGTGTTACATAGTCTACACATCGATAGAAGAATATTCCTTGACCCTTAGAATATGCTTTGGAGAGTATTGTCATGCTAAGAGATTAATAAGCAAGCTCATTATATATCATGGTTGTTTGAGTACGTCGTGTGGCGATTGGCTTGGACCGTTTGCAATGAATTGGGTCCCAACGCCTGTTGATTGCAAGCGTCTAGGACTTCCGTAGAGAATGTAACTCATTAGCCCCTGAGGATTTGACCAACGATCTTCATTAAAAAATGTGGCGTGTTCTGGTTGGTCAGAGTATTTTACGTTCCCACAGCCTTGGCCATTTCCGAAATTTTACTGGAAACCCTACTACTTGGATTTGGCTATCTCTCAGATTGAACACATAATCTATTGAAACAAAACAAGATGCCCATTCTGAGAATGCAAGCAAACATTACAACAGAAACCAATGCGGCAGCAAGCAGTCTGGCAATTCTCCAAGAAATTCGAGCACTTCCAATACATACGACAACTTCGTCCTTCCCAGTTGCCGTTCGGATCATCTCAATTTTCTAACCTATTACTACACTCATTCCTCTTGTCCTTTTCCTATTCACGCCCATGCGAACCTGCCAAATGCCCAGAACCAAGCCTTTTATTACAACCGTACCCTCCTCCGATTTCCCTTTCTGTTTGTTCGTATTCGCCAATCGAATCTCCGGACCGCCAATCACAATCACCAGCGCCAAAATTCCTCCAAATCCCCCGAAACAAACAAGAAATTGAAGCAAACCCAAATTCCAATACATCAAATTATGGAATTACAGTGCATAATGATTCAGAAATTACCTTAATTTACACAAAAAAGCTTCAAAGTTTAACAAGAATTACAGATCCATTTTTTAAGGAAATTTAGAGGAAAAAACCCAAATCTAAAGAGGGAAAATCCAACTGAAATTACGAAATATATAGATATATAATTATATATATAATTTTATTTTGGGGTTTAATTTCTGATCATCTTCCTCTGTTTGCGTAGTTCATCTTCTCGTAAAACCGAATCGAGAAGAGCGAGAGGGACAGATTCACCTCGTCCTTTCCCCACCGAGCGCTCGGCGGCTTCGGGTTCAGCATCGGCTTCACCGGAGCCGCCGCCCAAGGCGAATCAGAGGAGGACGCCGCCGACGAGAATGAAGGGACGGAGCTCGAGGAGGAGGAGGCCTTGCTGAGACGCCAGATGTAGTGGGCGTGAAGCCGCCGGAACCCACCGAGAGCGAGGACCACAGATCTCAGCTGCTGGCTGCCGCAGCCCGTGTTGGCCCAGTGCCTGGTGCATATCAGCTCCCAGAGCCGCTCATCCTCCGCCGTCTTGTGCCACTGCTTGCTCACGCACGACGCCATCCCCAACGTCCGCGCATCCACGTGCTTGAACACCTCGAAGATCAGATTGTCGTCCAGATTCGAAAACCCCGCCCCTTTCAGCTCATCCATGTCAACGCAGTCAGCCACCTCCACCTCCTCCTCCTCCACCTTAACCCTCTTCATCTTCACATCCGCCAAGCTCTCCGTCGCCGCCATCGAATCGTCCCCCGATGATGCTCGCTTCATCGAACGATTACAACCCACCAGTCCGAATCTTCGAACCGATAGCTTCCACTCGGGGGTTTCTAAGTAGTTCCGGGAGGATTTGGTGGGGAATCGGAAAACCCAGAGCCCAAATTGTATGAGCTGTGGGATGTCTGGAAAGAAGAGGTGGGTAATATGGAGGGTGGAGTGTGTGTGTGGAGTGGCCCAGTGGGGACCTGTTTCCGTGCGTTTTCGAAGACGACAATTTTCTGAAATGAATGCGCCTTGTTTTGGTTTTGGGTTTCTGTCTCTGTATTGACGAATATGTCCTGCTCCTCCCACTTCTTTTTACTCTGCTTTTTCTCTTTTACCTGCCTAATTTGTTTCTTTCTCTGTCTGCTTGCTTCTGTTGTTTCCTGCGCTAACAACAAAAATTAAATTAGATTAATATAAAACGTGTCGCAAACTGTGTCGTAATTTGCGCATGGGATTAAATGTCAAAATGATCTATGTATCTTACCTTGCCGATCATTTTAGTCTTTGTGTTTTTAATTTAGCCAAATTGGTGTTTACCATAGTCAATTCTAGATAATCGGTTACCAGTCATTTTAGTCTTTCTGTTTTTAATTTAGCCAAATTGGTGTTTACCATAGTCAATTCTAGATAATCGGTTAAATGACCGTTAAATTGACATGTGCCTTGTAAGTAAGAGGACAAAAATGTAACTTCACTATAAACTCATGCAAGATCAAACGATTAAGATGACCATCTCACATGCAAAGCACATGTCAATTTTAATGATCTTTTAACGCATTGTCTAGAATTGACTAACGAAGGTAAACACAGGGCCATTTGGCCAATTTGAAAACTTGAGGACCAAATTGACTAGTAAAGTAAAATACATGAACCATTTTGCCATTTAAGCCTTGCAAATATATAGGTTAAGATCCGGGACACATACTTTTCAGGGCTCACTCGGTAATATATTTCTACGATTCAATTGATTATCTTTTATGTCTTTTCTTAAATGTTATTAACAAAAAAATCACCTAAATCAACAAACATATGACTGATGGATTAATTTAGGTTTCTTTGTAGAATCGTATCTGTCTATTTTATAACTACAAATAAATGTCTTAGTGATTTTATATTTGTCTAATATTTTGCAAATATGATCTATGAGTGAAAGATTGAAATATAAACAACTCAAATTCTTGGAAAAAGTTACGCAATGAGAGCAACAAAAATATATCACAAAATGTGTAAAACTCTGGTCCATATACAAATGTAACTTCTAAGATAGTTGTAAGAAAATTTGAAAATTCTTTTAATCCTATTTAATATTGAATGAAACAGAAAATGAATCCGTGAGATTGACAAAGAATATCTAAACATTCATACAAATCAAATCTAGCAGCCAGAACAAGAACAAGAACATTGACAGGTACCATTAAATTCCACCCAGAAATTCGAAGACATTTTGCCAAGATTTTTTTTTTAAACGACATTATGGTAGGATAACTACGTCTACGTATACGTATACTAATATTTTTGGGAGTAACCTTGTTAGGTTTTATAATCCTCTAAAGTCGGTGAGAAGCTTTGGTTTAACTTGGTATGTGCATCAATTAGACAACTGCACGTGTAGACTTGGCTTTACCTTTACTAATGGAACATAGGTTTGTATTTTTTTTTTAGTACATCGATATTTTTACATTAAGGGAATGGAAGAGTTCGGCAAAGTCACACAATGAGTAACCTAATTTGGTATCGAATTCGCCATATATGAGATTTGAACCTAAGACATTTCATTTCCAAATGAAGTAAAATACTACCAGACCGTAATACCAAATGACGTGGTTTGTATTTAGATATGGCAAAATGATGCATCATCTTGTAACATGTCATGTATGGAAAACCTCAGAGAGCGTTAGGGCGGGAGGGGAAGCCAATCAGCCATTGCCTCCGCCACCCTTTGTGCTGTTTTATTGGTTGGTCACTTTGCTTGGTCGAATGAGCAAATCTTTTGCTGAGAATCGCCTATGAAATTGACGTACCCACCCAACTTTCTTGCCCAAGTCAACCCGATATTTATCCCGTTTCCTTCATCTTTTCTATGTTTTAATGCCTCCCATTAGGTTTATTACGATGAAAAATTTATTTGAACTTATGTAATTTTATTTTTTTATCAAATTTATTCTTTACGGTTATAATATTTTCAACTAAATTATCAATATCCCTTTAAATTCAAATTACTATCTAAATTATCTTCACAAACCTAATTTAATATATAAATTTATCTTTACATCTATTAAAAAAATAAAAATATACATTGTCTCCTTCCAACAGGTATATCATCTTTCCTTTCAATTCTACTTTATTTAATAGAAATCGAAATCGAAGTTAAAATAAGAAGTTAGTTTAAGTAGACCATTTCATTCAACATTTGAAGAATTGTAAATATTTGAGCCAAAGTATCATAGAATACCAAAAATCATGTATGCAAACAGCAAAAGAAAGGCGGAAAAAAAATCGAAACAGAGTACTCATGTTGATCAATCCCTTTCTCGTTCCCACCATACTACCAAACTTCTAACTCTGACAAGCTCCCTTCCATCAAAGAATTTGGCACTACCCAATTAGTTAAAACCCCAAAATTTATCGGTTACTCAGAAATAAAGGTTGAAACGTGAGAATTAAAAACATCCAAGTACTGCTACTAGAACTACGTCACAATGATATTCATCTTTACTTATAAGTGATAGGTCTTAAGTTTAATTCTCGCCAAAGGCTTTGAACTACTTTATTGCTAGCTCATTTTGAGACTAAATCCACCATTTTTCCTTAGTACAGATAATATCGATTGTTAAAAAATAAAAACAACTAAGTACCAAGTGATGGGGTCCAAATTAGTTTGCTTTCATGGCCAAGAGTCAAACCTAGACCACGTGGTTATATTCGAGATGTAGATTTATGTAAATTTAATGTCACAATACATTCGTTAAAAAGAGTTATCCTCTATGAAAGCATTTTAGAGTTTTGACCAAAACATAACGTAACAGAAAATTTGCGTGATGATAAGGGTTTGATTATTAAGTGTAAGTTTATTGATAAATTTTAATTTTATTATTAATTTCATTTTGTATTTGATGATAATTATACAATAGGATAGAAATGACGATTCACACTCAAAGTTTAAGTTGGATATGGAGTATTAATTATTTTTAAGCGGATTAAGCAGACGATAGTTTGACCATATCGATTTATAGAGGATGTGCTTTTACCCCCGCACTCTAATGATAACCTATTAAAACTCACTTTGATAGTGTGGACTAGACTTGGCATTCGTTCCGTGTTTTTCATGTTCGTGTCGTTTTTGTGTCATACATGATATCTTAATGGGTCATAACATCCGTTAAAGTAAACGGGTAATATGATTCGACCAGAAATCGACCTGTTAATATTATCAGATAAAGTGATCCGACCTGTTACCCGTTTAAGAAAATATATTTTAAATCAATAAATAATGAAAATGAAAAACATAATTTGACCCAAAAAAATAAAAAACATAATACTAATTTAGTATATGCATACCATATTGTCACATAAATATTACTCATAACATAAAAAATAAAAACATTTGTCATTCAAGTATTAAGTACTCCAAAATAAGAGCCTAATGAAAAAACATTAGTACATTACTATAAAAACCAAATGTTCAAGGATATCCAAAATGAAAAGAGCTGCGTTTCAAGGTTGATGAACCTTGCATGTTTATATATGCTTTCACATTTTTTGCATACTCCAAAATAAGTGCCTAATGAAAAAACATTAGTACATTACTATAAAAACCAAATGTTCAAGGATATCCAAAATGAAGAGAGCTGCGTTTCAAGGTTGATGAACCTTGCATGTTTATATATGCTTTCACATTTTTTAGACTTGTACATTAATGATTATGAATTTTATTTATTTTGAACTCCCTTAAAAATACTATTCGTAAGGGTTTGTATGGTTTTAAAAATTCAAACGACGATATACCCATACTCAAAGCGTAGATGATGCAATCACGAGCCTTTGCATATTTTTTCACATTGTTCGCACTTTAAAATTAATTATTGTAATTTTTTTAATACGTTTGGTATTTTTAAAATATCTGATACTTTTATTTTTAATGTGTTTTATAATTATACTATAAAAATAAATAAATAATGTTTAAAATTTTAACTTATATAGAATAATAATATAATAATACATATTTAATATACAATTATATATGTACACAATGACCATTGTATTTTATAGTAAGTTTTTTTAGTAGTTTAAAAAATTAAAATCATCGAAATAACTTTTTTCTTAACATGTCGAAACAAGTTACCACGTGTCATCTTGTGTAAGCCTGTTAAGAATCCGTTATTAAAGGGTTCTTATCGTGTCACCTGATAATAATCCGATTAGTTATCGTGTTGATCAAAAACCAGTTATTTTCGTGTCGTTTATGAATCGAATTAACAGACCGTGTAAAAAATTATCAGATTTAATGTGGACGTCGGAGTATCTTTATTGGCTAGAGAATTGCTTCTTCTCTTACATCCAAGCCCGAATTCCCTCCGTATTATCGTTTTAATTAAAATAAAAAACTTACTATGCTGGAGAAAACTCACAGACCAATTGTTATTTTGCACTAAACCTTTTCTACCTGGCTGTACAAAGCATTTGACCGATCCTCATTGCTCACAGTGGACTTTACCGGGTACAAAACCAAGCCCAATTGATAAATTTAGGTAGAAGCCCAACTCAATTGCAAGATTCTAACACTACTTGAGATCCTATTACCATCTCCAAGTTAGTTGTCACAAGGCCCAACGGCCCAACCCAAACAGGGGATTGACTCATTTCTTTACTTGCAAATAACGGATCATAATTGTAGAAATTTATAATCGGAATTGTTCGATTTTTTAATCTTATTTGGAGATCATTCCTACAAAAAATTATGCAAATTGGATATCGTTTAGTCATCCCATGTATCAGATAAATAGAGGATTCATCTTGAATCTGTTACTTGGTATTCATACGATCAATTTGCTCCACACCATTTTGGACTGCTAAACGATATCTAATTCAAATAATGTTTTTGCTAGAAATGATTTTCAAATAAGATTAAGAAATTTAACAATTCTGATTATAAAATTTATATGGTGTATATATGTTATTCATAAAGGGTGGGATATGTGCATTCCCCGTGAAGGAA